GTTTTATTCCATTTCATTGGCTATCTTTAGAAATGTGGGAGGAGTTTGGGGGAAAGAGATGAGAATTGTGTGTATGTTAGTTTGGAGTCCAAGAGTAGAGCTTTAGCGAGTTGTATGTAACTTTTTGGAAATTCATGGATAAAGAACCATAAAACATGTAGTGACGAGTGTTTTCTTGGAAGGCCTAATCACATCGTCACAAAATCTTTAAAACAGTAGCGATCCCCACCACATAACGTGTCCTATCACCTTCCAAAAGATGAATTAGCTAATGAGAAAAATATGAGGAGTTCTGAAAACCATCTTTTTTTAGAAAAAGATTTTTGCCCCCAATTTGTCCCCCAGGATGAAAATGAGAATTCCGAAACCTTACAGCAAATCCACAGTACACCATCAATCGTCTTCCAAAAGTCAGAATGTTTCTGTGCCATTTTTTAACGAACACACATTTCATTAGATTCTCGTAATATCCGTGCTGTTCACTACATGTATGAAGCCATGGATAGAACATAGATATTGTTATGTTTGTGACGTACCATAACGTCACCTTATAAAACTAGTATACAATACTGAAATAGTATTGATGTTCCATATGAATTTCATCTGTTTTACACCACCAGTACCGAAAAAAATGTACAATCCTGATATAATGGGAAAATAAAAATTCTCTGTTTTGGAGTGTATCAGAGATAAATTTCATATGATAACCAAAACGGCAATGGTCATCTCTTCTGTTGGTGTTCCTTAATTTTTAAATCTTACAGTATACCGGGGTATATTATTATTACATTGTAGTTTTTTTCGAATCAACCTTTTTGTCTCTAAAAATCGAACCTCACAGCTATTAGGTTTACCTTATATTGACAGAGTTGTAAATAAGATATGACGTATATATGTAGTTTGATCTTTTATTGTAGAGACATGAATGTTGACAAAGCATCTCTGTTAAATCAGATCGAGTATCTGAATTCCTCTGAATACGTGTAATAATATGGTCCAGTCAATATAAAAATTAGGGCCTTAGTGTGGAGAATCAGTTCTCTACAATGCACTAGGGGGGTTTGAGAGACTCGGGGTCTATCTGCTGAACGATCTTTTGGTCTTATGCTGTTCTATTTAAATAAAAGTTTTATTCAAAGCTGTACTCAAGTTCTATCTGAAATCTGATCAACAAACGACATATCTTAAGAATCATTACGCAACATTATCAAATAAGTCATCATATGTACGATCATGTTAGTTGTCAAATATTTAAGCTTCTGTCACTAACATAGTTTCTAAGGAGGATTTGATTTTTAAAAAGGGTCGTGTATATTTATTATGCCATCCAAAATAAAAAAAAACATCAATCCTTCATAAAGGCAAAAATTCTCTCTCGTCACCTATGTTCACCCTTGTAAAGTCACCCTTTAGTTATAATGTATTTGTAAAGATTTGGTAAGAGTATTATTATTAGAATATAATATTCAATGTAATCTTGTCGACATGTTTGTTTTTTAAATCATATTCTGTTATACCTGCAAGGGAATGGGAGCATGTGAACGGTAACTTAGTTTGGATATACTGCAAAAGATTCCACAGAAAAGCAGTAATGTCTGGCGTTGTTTGGTTAATTAATTAACCTAATCCATTCCTATAATTGATAAAGATATATTCTTTTATCAACCAATAAATCATAATGAATCTACATTTTTTATATAGCTGTCCTAATAAATGACCAATGATTTCATATCCTTTCTGGTAAATTAAGTTCTTGTAAATGGTGCATTAAATATCATTAAATTTCATATACAAATATTAACGTATATTAAAATGTATTTATCTAAAGGTCATCAGAAATAATTTTAAAAATATCTCGGTGATCAAATATTTTATGCATTCCTACAGATCAGTCTTTGCTATATCCTTTGATCCATGTTAAGACACAACATATCCAATTCTGCATTTGCCTTGCTAGCTGCATAGTTCGAGAAACTATTTCCGAATGAATTAAAAAGCCCTGTTATGAGAGTAAGTACACACATGCATGTGTAAACTTTTACTTAAGTATTTATTATTTAATTATTGTAAACGTGGATATTTTAACAGGGGTAAAAATTTGAGATGTATCTGGAGTGGGAAAAAAAGTATGCTTGGGGGTTGTTTTTTGTGGAAGTTAAAGAATTTAATAAATATGTGCGTTTGTTGTTTAGCATGGGACCTTATATGAATCCGCGCAATGATAAATTCTGAGAAACTTTATTAATCGCAGAATTCGCAAAAGATTCAACCACTCAAACATTCCAACATTTACAGTATCAATTAGATGAGCATGTAAATAATTAATTGTAAATTATCAACTTAATTCTGTCTTTTACAAGGGGATTACACAGTGTACTTGATATGTAGTTATTTGCTACTTTGCTGGTTCTCCTTTCCTCGATTTCTCATATACCAGACATGTTATTGTTGTTTTAATTTTATTTATTTGTATTCGACATCAATATTAGTTATTTTAATGTCAAAGAACAATCAAATGATAGCAACAAATAATACACAGACTTCGTGTGACTGTTTCTGTACAATAACACAGTAAATGTTAAATTTAATAGCGATTCTCTGTAACCACTTAAAATTCTTTGCCACGCATGGTCACCGATTTTTATGAAACTTTGCCCATTATTACAACTTGACACCAGATACATATATCAAATAAAATTTCGTTGCTATGTGTCTTGGTTGCCATGGTTACAGCCAGAGAAGTTGAAAAAATTGTGATTTTCAGTTACTTTGAATCTTTATTAAGCCTTAATAAAGACTAAGAAAAACAAACAAACCATTCTCCTAAAACATGACACCTTGTTGCCACTTATGCTATAAAGAAACTATTTAGAATTTATCTCTAAGTAAGTGGTAACCATGAGTACATTTGGAATACATTTTAGATGCTGGAAAATGCTGAAAATCGCTCAATATTCACAAATGATAGATGTTACATGATTAAACTCAATCAACAACCTAAGAAAAACAATAAAAAATATTTGACCTTAAGTAATTAGGTATTGGTAATATTATTCTAAAAATAACTTTCATGGTTGCCATGGTAACACAGAGTTACCATGCAAAATCTGTTGCTATGATTGTGTTAATGCTACTATCTTGAGGAAAAATAATAAAATTCATGACTGACACATTTGCATACTTAGGACCTTGCAACACCGACAACATAAGAAAAATTGGGATTAATTGTTACTTTGCAGTGTAACCATGGAAACAACATACAATGTACTAGTTGTTTAAAGTGATATTTTTTGCTGCTTTAGGAATTTACTTACCTTTTAATCAAGAAGCATATTATTTCACTCACCTTGAATAGTACTGGTAGAACTAAAGTTAAATATCATTATATTGATAACGTTTGTTGAAAAATACAACACTGTTGCTATGGTTACCAAGAAGAGAAAATGTTCGATTTTGTTAATTTTATGTCAATATTAAACCCTATTTGCCAGCTTTTTGCATCCAGTTAGAGATTGGGTGGTACATGTAGTTAAAATTGAAAGTCAGTTAGTTGTTCATATATATCAATTATTAAAGTTTTGGGAATCTACATATAAGGGCATGTATCCAATGAAACAGGATATTTTTCATATTTGTAGGCATGTTTTTTTTTTTGCCTTATTTCCATAGCAACGCTCTATTTTAAGAATTGAATTTGAATTTTTGAAATGTGAAAATTAGGGTCACTCCAACGCCTTTAAAAATTGATCATCAGTTATATAGAAATATGTTTTTTAATAAGATGAAAACACTAGAAGAGTAAATTAAAAATCCCTTCGTGGTATTAAAACCATGGCAACCATTGCCAACCTTTAAGAAATATCATATTTCGTCCTTGGTTTATGTTACAAGGATCTTTTGTCTATTATTTGCTTGCATTTCAACCTATAATTGTTTTTATTCTTAAGTGTATGACTTTATAAAATTAAATGAACAAAATTATTACTTTTGAATACTTTGTTTCCATAATACCGTATGTAATTATTGATTTACCAAACATGTTTATCATGCATTTAAAGCACCAGGCCTTCCACTTTTAAAAACACTCATTGCCACTTGTTTGCTTTGCTGCAATCGTTAACTCTGGGACTCTGAACATGTTGAAAAATGCCATTTTTCAAACTTTAGGACATGTTGCTATGGAACCCATGACACGTAGCAACCAATTTTTGCCTGATTTGAGTTTACGCTATCAAAGACTTTTATCATAGAGAGTTTGGAGAAATTCTGAGACTATGCGTGCCACAGCTCCTATATAAAAGTTCAAGTCATTACAGAGAATGGCTCTTATATTGTGCACGATTCGTTTTGTTTACTGGATTAATGAGATCGATCACTGTTTGTGTTTTCACCTTTTACATTATACAGAGAGAGAGAGAGAGAGAGAGAGAGAGAGAGAGAGCATTATTGAAATCAATAGATTCTTTACAGTATCCTTTAAGGTAACATTCCCAATATTATTTCACATCAAAATATGACATGTATAAAATTGTGTATAAAAGAGAAAAAAATATTAATAAGACCATCTTTACAATTCTTTTCTTTTTTTAATTTCTTTTTCTCCAATGCTCAAAAGACTTTTCCATATTATGAAGATATAATTTTGAATCTTGAAAATTCACCCTTGTTGATAATCTTGACTGTTTCATATACCTTCCTGTCCCAGCAAGAAGTATTCGTGAGAATGTACTCTTTTTGCTTATGAGCATCTATATTTTATCCTAGAAACTGTAAATTTGTTCAAAATTGAAAAAAATTATCAATTCGAATAAATGGACTTTGTTGCCAAATATCTGAATATTCAAGGACCTTTTCAGTACTCAAAAAAGTGACATCATCAAGATTTTGTTTATTACAGCTGAAAGTAATGAGTTAAATATTTACAAGAATTTTCAGTTTTCATCAGTATTGCCAAAAGTTACATAAAAACTACAATGTCTTTATTTCTATTTATTTCCAGAATGGGAAATAAAGTAAGCCACAGAAGTACTGTTGAAGCTGAATTTGCAGTTACTAAGGAGAATGACGATGAGACTAAAAATGAGAGTGAATCTGAACTTAAACAGGATCCTCTATTTGAAAATCTTAAAAAGAACATCGAAGAAAGAAATAAATTGGGTATTCTCAAACAAATTAAGGAAGTAATAAAACAAGAAAGAGTAGAAGATATAAATCAAATGGTACAAAGTGATTATAACAGAGAGACACTTTTACATATTACTATCAAAAATGTAGACATTGGTGACCTATCTTGTGTCGAAGACCTCCTGGCAAAAAATGCAGAATTAGTGGTCACACCACGAGATAACAGCGATTATAATGGCCAAACAGCTCTACATGTTGCCATTGTGATAGGGAATTTTGAAGTTGTTAAAATTCTTTTAGATTTTGCCGAGGCCAAGGATATGACAGGAGATTTATTAAACATTTGTGCTAATGGAAGCCGATTTAAGAACACGGCTCTAATGGGACAGCTCCCATTATCAGTAGCTGCTCTCGTGATGAAAGAAAACGATTCCAACTCTAAAAGAATTATCGATGTTATACTGGAGAAAAAGGCTAGTCTCTGTGCACAAAATACGCATGGCGACACTGTATTTCATTCTTTGATCAAATATGGGGATATTTATCCAGAGAAAATTTGCCATGTCAAACGCGCCTTTAAGTATCTGCGAGAAAAATATGAAGAATTGAAGGATCCCATAATCGAAGACATTTTATTCTGTGAAAATAATGAAGGACTGACTCCACTTCAACTCTCTGCCAAGCTCGGAGTCGGAGAAATTTTTGCGTGCATCATTGAAGTTCCACAAGTCTATCGTTTCCAAAACACCCAGGATGGTCTTTTTGACATTCGAGTATACGATGTAACGGAATTTGACAGAATGATTATGTATATTGATAGAAAAGATAATTCGGAATGGAATCCATCAGAAATTACGATACTGGAAAGATTATTCGATGAACACTGTACTCACAAAGAAGCATTTCAAATTCTTAATCTAAAATTGGTGCAATTCATTCTTCAGAAAAAATGGAAAACATATAGGGTACCATTATTTATCTGGCTAGTGATGCATCTTTCATTCATTTCTATCTCAACACTGGCAACGGTGCAAAAATCTACAGCTTTGGTCTGCTCCATAGAAAACCAAAATAATTGTGAGCTGCAAGAAGATTTTTATCCAATAGGAATTATGTTTCTATTGGTTGGAATGATTTACTTTGTCTTTTCTTCTCTTATTTTCCATAAGTTGCTACTACGTTGCTACTTCGGTGGTTTTGGATTAATTTGGCACAATCTCGACTACATTATTTGTTTGACTGTTGTGTCTTTCGGGGCTATAATTGAATCTGTTCTCACTTTCCTTCGGTTGCACTGGGACTATCACTTGGTATGCATCTTGTTGTGTGGATGGTATTTTATGCTGTACTTTTCTCCATTTCATAAAAACTTCGTTTCTTTTACATACATGTTAAAAGCAGGTTTGGTTAAGGACTTCTTACCCTTTTCCTTCGTATTTATCTTTCTTTTAATGTCATTTACTACTGTAATGCATATACTATTCCATGGAACAGAAGAAGATCCAGAAGAATTCAACACTTTTAGGGATTCTCTTTTCACAATGTTTAAGCTCGGAGTTGCCCTTGATGACATCGGTGTACTAAGTCAGTCAAGAATCCCATGGCTTGCCTATACAATGTTTGTGCTCTTTGCAATTCTTTCCTTCATTCACATTCTAAATGCTCTCATAGCAATCATGTCTCAAACTTTTTCAGATGTACATCAACAAAAACACTTATACCTTCAGTACCAAAAATTGTGTATGATTGAGTTGTTTGAAGATATCATAATAACTCCTTATTTAGAAAAGGTTGTACCTTGTATATACAAAGCAAAACATTGGACTCGGAAAATGAGAGGTAATGGTCAACCACGATATTTTACAACTGTCCATTCCTTGGATGATTCTTACTACAACAGGAGTGAAAAAGAGGAGATAAAGAAGACCTCTAATCAGGATATGGAAACAATTATTGACTTCATACAAACCAGTCGTAATTTACCCACAAACCAAACAGGATCCATCGAAAAAGATGTTACATATATTCAAACGGTGGAAAAAAGGGACAAATCATTTCAAATCCCACATGTGAAAAGTTCTTCTGCATGGGTTCAATTAAAGTAGAATTAGTGTTACAATGTAAGTCGTAAAATACAATGACTTGAAGAATAAATTGTATACTGACCAATTGTTGGTTCCATTGCTGGTTCTCTTAAACCTGCACTAAATAAAAATAAAATAAACAACATGCTCATGAGCCGCAACGCTCACCATAGTCACTATGACATTGCTGTTCATCATCAGATTTCTTCCCATATACTCGTATGTTAAACTTTGATCAAATATAGTGGCCCCACCCAACCCCCTAAGTCATGAATTGAATAATTTTGAATCGTCACTACCCGAGGAAGCTAATCATGTCCTGCTGTTCTTGAGAAGATTTTTAAAATTTAATTTTTTTTTATATGATCGGTGTGTTAAACTTTGAGCACCCATTGTAGCCTGATCCTGCACCCGGGGGTCTTGATTTGAACAAACTTGAATCTAAAATAATTGAAAAATCTTCCATATAAATATGACTAGCTGACTTCGCTGTTCTTGAAAAGATTTTAAAGATTTTTCCTAATTCCTATGTTAACATTTGATCGCCCTTTATGGCCCGGGCCTAACCCCGGAGGTCATGATTTAAACAAAATTGAATCTACGGTTTAATGAAGCTTTCACACAGGTGTCTCTTTTCAGGCCAAGTGGTTCTTGAGAAGATTTTTGAAAGATGACATTATTTTTTCACTAATTATTATTATTATATCCCCTTGAAAGAGGGCTTGGTCCTTCATAATAAGAAAATTTAAGTGCCTTCATCCAAAGGTGCTTTGTGGCAAATTTTGTTGGTTTGAGGAGAAGATGAAAATGTGAAAAGTTTGCGGCAACAACGGCGTCGTCAACGGCTCAGGAAGGGTCACTTGAGCCTCTCACTTTCCCACTTACTCCAGGTCCATTTTGATATATTATGTAGTACACGTAGTTTCAGAATTTCAATGATTCCTTGATTGCACAGGGTAATCCAACCAAGAACAAATTGATATACCATCTCCAAATCCAAAAATTAAAATTGTTCTTACTTTTAGTTTCTGTTATAATTAATTTTTTAAAATTTTATACCAATTTTCATTAAAAGGTATTGATTAGAAAGGAAAATAAAAAATATATTTCAATGATTTCCGAGTAGCCTTCTTGTCAATTTTATGGTTTTATTCGGTGGTTTATATGAAGTTCTTTAAACGAAACTTAAAAACAAAACCTTTACACCTACCTGAAGAAAATACGTGAAGTTTTGACCACTGGCCTTTAGAACGCTTTAATTAAGACTGACAAAACTGGGATTAAAAATAATAAAGGCATGGAAGATATGGAATCAGATAGGGTACTCATTTTCAACGATTAAAGACTAATAAATCAAATGATTTAAATTTATGTGATCAGAGGCCCAAGCCGGATTTCAGTAATAATAAAATCTATTAATTTCTTCTATAATTGGAATGGGAATGTAGTATCGATCATACCAGGTATCATATAACGCATTCTAAACTTTCTGATTACACTCAGCCTACGGGATAGTCGATTTTTGCATGAAGAAATTATAAGCAGAAGTATTTTAGACAAAAAGTTGAGGATCTGTAAGAAATGCTAAGAGCAAGAAGACAATTTAAGACTCCTGAGTCAAACTTAACAATAACACCAAGAGGGAAGCGAGGTTAAAAAAAGCGAGGTCCCCGCCAAAAAGCCTAAGTGGCCCTGGCAAAAGAAACGCATTTAGAGAAAGAGAGTGCTTTATTGTCGGGTGAGGAAGTTTTATTAAATATGCAAGAAATTGTTCAGAAACATCAAATCCAATACATGTAATTAGGGTTAATGATTTTCTTGGGTTACAATGTCTCAGAAAGCTTGAAACAAAAATATAATTACTGGACATTACATGTATGTTGATTTGGCGCAGTTATTGACAATTACAAATTTCATAGATTCACAGGAAACCCGGTGTTTCCCGGTGTTATGCTGACTAAGGTTGCTTAGTTGTTGAATAATGTTGATGTTGACTGAAAGTTTAAGTTCAGATATGTGCTGAACAGTTGAAATTCAAACTTGTTGAAGTTTGTAATTTTTATCGAACAGTAAAGTCAGTTGTATTTGAACATTGGGTTGATGCTGTGATGTTGATATTGTTGTAAGGTGTATTGTAATTGAAGTATGTTTGTACTGTTTCAGCATGTATATATTAAGTAAGATTAAGAAACTTCTAGAACACTCCTGAGTGGTCAACAGTATGGTTATTTTTTCTAGAACATTCTTGAATCTTGAATTTCGTGTATGTCCAGAATATTTCAGTAACATCTTGTATTTACAATTTCTAGAATTTTCTAAATTTACGTTAATGTATAAATACACTGTCAATTGTATGCATGGGTAAGACTGGCGTACAAACAAAAAGACTTGAGTACAAAGAGACTGGGATAGGATAAGTGTTGGATACTCTCACTGGGATATTGTGTATAGTAAAGGAACACTGTTGTATGTATGATTGGATTCTTGCCGTAAGTTTGTACTTTTTTGATTTCTATATATTACTGTAAATAAATTGTTGTTACGTTTAAACTTTGTGATTGATTTTGCTGGCATTTCGGGTTATTCTGACCCATAACAATATGAAATTGAAATGGGAGCCAAATTTAAATTTACATGTACAATACAAATCGTGCCCTCTTATACGCCACAGTTAGGATAAAAATAATAAAGTCAATAAGTATAGAATTTTTTGTGGTGTCTTTTCATCCAAAGAGATATACGTCAATTTTGCAGTTGTTTTCAGCATTCTTGGGAAGTATAAGGGATTTCGGATGGAACTTTGGTATTAATGTATTCTGTTTATATGTGAAGAGATATGATTTAAAAGTATAATTCAAAATCATTTGGTATTTCATTGGGTACCCTATCTGAGAAGTTCCACACCTTTACCCCCCCCCCCCCCCCAGTTTTGTCAATCGGATGAAAGCGCTTTATAAAAGGCCTGTGGTTTTGACAAACATTGCTGCACCCAAAAGCAATACTATGTGGAGAAAAAGAAACCCATATAACCATTCTTATTGAATTTTATTTTTTGAATTTAAGTTATTTATTTGAATTGGTAGAAGGGGTCCAATTCCAGCCAGTCTTATGATTTTTGAATTGAGGGATGCCAAAAGATATCAATCATATGACTGATTTGTATGACTTCAAGACACCCCGATATGTCATTGAACCTCTACAAGAAATATTTAATCCACAAATGGATATTTAAACAGAAATTGTAGAAAGTATCATGAAAAGAGAAGATATGTGTTATAAAAAAAGAAAAAAAATGTATGAATGTGAAAGATTTTTTTTATCCAAAATTGACACAAGAAAATGTCTTTTTCAGTTTACTATCAAAATTTGCATCCTTATAATGCCTCAAAAAGAAAAGACTAAAGGTACAGTACCAAACGGAAAATTAGCATATAATATAATAGCAAAGGACTGGAAAAAGTTCTTATTTTATGGATGAGAGCTTTTTTTTACTAATATGACTGAAGGGAGATCGAGTGTGGAAGAAGAAAATAAAAAAAAAATGCAGTGCTGATGTCTACAAAACAGTTTTGTGAGGAACTTATTCAATGACAATTTGGGGCACCGACATTTTAAATTTACTTTATGAATAAAAATTACAAAAAGAGAAAGATTTTTCCTCTTTGTTCTCCATTTCCTCCTCAATAGCACAAAAAAACAGTGATAAATAGAAAATGTGGGGTTGTTTTAAAAATAATGTGATGTTTGAATGTTTCTCGACCTGAACTAAGAATAATACCCCCCCTCCCCCCCCCCCCCACCCCACCAACCCTTTGTACGTGCCTTTTTTTAAGTAAGAAATTTATTTATGATTTAAGTGCCTTTAACTAATTTCAGCGACGTTTCCGATGCTGGTACAATTCACAGTACAAAGTTTAAAATCAGAAGTCTATGATGAGACTGTAGCTCTACTGGTTTGTATTTATAACAAAGGAAGAGAAAAGTAGCACTTGCACTTGAAACTAGGCAACAGCAATAAATAGAATAATGCATGGTCCATGGTATACAAATGTAGTTCCTTTGTGACAAGGTTTACTGCAATCGGATTAAAAGTGTTGGAGTAACCTTTTGAAAGAATTTCACGAAAATTTCTATTTTTAGAAGCCATGACAAGACCACTTATAAAAAAAAAACTAATATAAAATTAAGTATAAAAGTGTAATCTACTTATGTGCAAGATTATATTGAAATCAGATGAAAACTGTAGAAGGAGTAGCATTTTGGAAGTATTGCACAGAAATTTCCATGTTTAGTAACCATGGCACGCCATTATTCCAAATCCAAAAACGATACAAAGGATTTTTTTTTACAGAGTTTGAAATCTTGTTTCCAAATTATATTCACTGTAGGAGAAGTAGCTTTTTGAAAGTATTTCACAAACATTTCTAATTTTAGTAACCATGGCAACAACTCTCACAAAAAAGACAAAATTAATGGAAAAAAAAATTTCTGTATCTCAGTGTAGTCTACTTGTGTGCCAGGTTATACTGATATCAGACTAAAACTAAAGGAGAAGTAGCACTTTGAAGGTATTTCACAGAATTTCTATGTTTAGTAACCATTACAACACCGTTCATCAAAATCAAGTCCGAGTTTTGAAAAATTGTTTACAGACAGCTAGACGGACGGACGACGGACACCTTACTATCGCATTAGCTCTTCTGATCTCCGACCAGTTGAGCTAAAAAAAAAATAATAATAAAAAACTCTTAATTTATACGTCAATTACTTATGTTATTGAATTAGAATAAAGCACGAAAAGGAATTATAAAAATGCCAATTACATTTATAAATAAGCTTATCCTTGGACGGTTATAGAATATATAAACACCTGACCAACAATAGTAGATGTTTTTATGTTTCTCATTTTTTTTCCCACATCGTAGGATGTGATAAATTCACAAATATAATAAATGGAGTTCAAATTTGTTTGTAAGAATGCAAAAATGGCTTTATTGCAGGAAAAAAAAAATTAACGTGAAATTAAATATAAAAAAGTCAATTGCACGAATATGATAATATACACGACAAATGTACACGAAGTAAAGATAAAGTCACACATTATATAGATATGTGATTAAGTTGTTTTAATCATTTACGAACAAAATTAAAAGAGAAAAAAATCTAAGAACACAGTCTTTATGTCTTTACAGTTAGTTTCTCTCTCAGTGGTAAACATTAAATATGCTAGATCAATAGCTAAAAAAAGTATAAGAGATAAACGGATGAAATACCTAGATTTTAAAGCAGTTAAATCATTGTATAGGCTTAAAAATTCAATCCACCGCGTTTACTCAATGTTTCAGACTTTTGTGGGGTTAGCGGAAATACGGAATCCCTTCTGTACTTTCTCAAATATTCCTCTTCATCTTCATCATCGTCGTCATCGTCCTTTTTGTCGATGAGCCCACATACCTGACAACACTTTAGACAAACACATCCAAGCACCATCAATCCTATGAGGGACGCCATCGATAAAACTGCATATTCTAAATATGGAAGCCATTTCGGAAGAAGAATTTCAGATGATTCGTCAATGGCCAGCACTAATAAATATAAACAAATGCATAATGTAATTTATACAAAGAATAGATCAATATTTCCTATAAGCAGCCAAGGCCACTGGCCCGAAGTATATTATATATGTAACTGAAAACTACTTGAGTCAAGGCAATTTTTAAAATGACCTCAATTATAGAAAAAAAAATTAAATTTAAAATGAGTACCTTTGAAATGTTGTTCTCCAAGGAAAAGTATTTAGCTGACATCAACAGAAATGGTTAAATGATATAATTTTTACGTGTTTAAATTTTTCTTGGAGTATAGTACAATTTCTTTTACATGTATCTCATTTTGTTTCATTCTGTGCCATTATTGATTGAGTTGCTAGTCTTACATGTATCACAGGTTGCTCCAGTGTACAACTCATCACAAGAACAGACGAATCCAGAGGCGGAATCAGTACAGGTTCCATGTAGACAGGGAGAAGATGCGCAGGTTTTCACTTAAATAAAGTATGTAATCTAATTAAATATCCTAACATATACTGAAATGCACCACCATCTGATTAAATATCCTAACATACATTTTGTAAACTGAAATACACCATAATCTGATTAAAAATATCCTAACATACACTGAAATACTCCATAACATAATTAAATATCCAAACAAACACTAAAATACACAATTAACTGATTAAATATCCCAACATTCAATGAAATACATCATAATCTAATTAAATATCCTTCGCCTCGCCCAATACGGATTTCCATTTCACACCCTGTATGACTCCGTATTAGGTCCCTGACTGACTGTGTAACGAATTTATCCCGCTGAAGACCTTTTTTTTCAATATTTCAAAAAAATCTATGAGCATATTATCATAATATCAATCAATCCAGTAACAATCAACATAAAATATCATAACAAGTAACAAGAAATTTAACTACCTACGCAAACCGTTTCTTAGCCGCCATTTTTATTTACAATAACGACACTTCGAACGGAATCGAGTGCCCGATTTTAATATTACCCCTGGACGGAGACTTAACATGGAAAATTTCAGAACGGCATGTGATTAGCTTTTATCCAATCAGTAATCTACAAATTTGTCAAAAGCGGGATAAACTGAAAAACGCCATAATCTGGCTAAATATTCTAATATACACTGAACTCACCATTATGAAAACTGAAGCTAATTGTGTTAAACTGGAACAAATTTGAGCAATAGTACACAATTATTATTTCCAAATCATTATGTTTATCAAAATTTTTTATCGATATGCAATAAATAGAAACAGATTTAATGTTAATTATTCACTCACAAGTATTACAAGTAACGCCGCTGTATTTAACTTCACATGTGCATTTAAACCCAGTTTGTGTATCGCTGCATGTTCCATGGACGCAAGGATGAGAGGAGCACTTTTTAACTGCATAAGAGCAATTGGAACAACGGAAATTATATTCAGTTTTCAAATCAAAGAGATGAGTAATCTTTTAGCCATGTAAATATTTCTCTTATCTATAAAAGAATATACTTTTGCTTTAATATTTATTGGCATTATGTGTTGTTATAAACTTCGTATTACATTTAAGTATATATACCTTTATCGCATTTGACCCCCGTATAGTGAACATCGCATGTACATTTGAATCCAGAGTTAGTGTCGACGCATGTTCCGTGAACACAAGGATTGGATGAACATTTAATCACTGAACAGAAAAAAAAATCATTGATACAGGTACAAATATTTCATATTAGTACATGTAGAAGTTAATATATATATATATATATATATATATATATATATATATATATATATATATATATATATATATATATATATATATATATATATATATATATATATACATACATAACATACTCACTCATTTTATATATAACTGAATTTAAATTGTAAATTTAAAAGAAATCGCTTTGAAAGAATATACTTTCCATGAATTGAACTTACATGTATCGCATTTTGAACCGGTATATTTGACATTACAGGTACATTTGTACCCGGTAGGTGTATCTGTACAGGTGCCGTGTTGACAAGGCGAAGAGGAACAAAGTATCGCTATAAAGAACGTCATGCATAAATATAATTTGTATTTTCAGCTATAGCTATTTTCCAGGGTTCCATCGTCTAAATTATGAGTTTTTCCTAAATAACACTTTGCCCTTTTTATAGATTACACTTTTGACCAGATAATATCTGAAGTATAGAATAGTGTTCGATACACGCACATGATGATAGCATATGCTAAAATAAAGTAATCACTCACGTGTGTCACACTTCTTTCCGGTATATTTCTCACCGCAATGACAGGTATAGCCTGATGGTGAAGTGGAGCAGGTTCCATGAACGCAAGGGTTTGGCGAACATTGGATGGCTATTATTATAATTAAATGTAGAAGCATTTTAGCCTATTTACTACGTCAACTAAAATTGTTTTTCTAATTTGTTGTATTGTGCAGTTAAGTGAGTAGTTAAAAATAATTTGTTTTCATCAGCTTAGCGTAGTTTTAAATATTTTACTGGTATTTTTACAACTCTGCTAATAAATATAAAATTGAAAAAAAGTGTTTGTTAAGTCTCTACAGATGCAATGCATGAGAGCACATAGATAAAAACTAGTACAATACGCCACAACAGATTTTTTTTAAAATCGTTTACTGATATTAGACAGATATTAAGACTTTTTATCAAAGCAATCATTAGAAAATATATTAGAAAAACGTATTGTACTCAAAAAGAATGAATTATAGTAAGTTTTTTTTTTTTTAAATTTCCTAAGGTAAATAAGTTTGTTATAGATATGGTTATGATTACAATAACTAGAAATTACATTTATTTAGATTCAGGTAATGGTATACAATATATTTTATTGAGTAGAATAAGATGGTGATTTCCCCCTCCTTTTGACAGCATTTTCTATCCCGTCACCCTGTATAACAAGTATTTATCTGTCATTCTGTCCCCTTTCTTAACTATCAAATATTGCGAGTGGCACGAACAACTGAAAAGATGACACAGCTTATATCAAATGTTTCTGTCGAATTGAAGTAAAACTATGACTTGTATATTTGTCAATGTATATGTATTCAATTTATTTCATAACATATAAAATGTTTCCTATATATTATGTATTGAGATATTGTATAAAATTTCCATTTAACTAATAGTGAATGGGTTTGTCCAAAAATAGATAGAAGCGCTTTAATGTATTCTATATCTTGAGTTTTCCTCTTTAAATGGATCGGAGGAAGTTAAACTGATTTTAAGGCTTAAAACATCTTTACACACCTGGTATATCTCACTGTGTGACTGCTAAATTAACGTTTATTTACTGTCATTTGCATGAAAAATATCTGCTTAAAAACAGAGATATCTTCTTTTTTACATCATTCTTATCACATTTGATTGTAGGGATTTGCATAAGGGGCAAGAAAGCCGAAAAATGTACCTCAGTAGAATAGACTTACATGTGTAACAAATAATTCCGGTAAATTTAATACAGAAGAAGAGACTTACTTGTGTTACAAACACTTCCGGTAAATTAACCTCAGGAGAAAAAACTTACTTGTGCTACAAATACTTCCGGTAAATTTAACCCAGAAGAAGAGACTTACTCGTGTTTCAAACACTTCCGGTAAATTTACCTCATGATAAGGAGAAGAGACTTACTAGTGTTACAAACTCTTCAGGTACATTTACCTCAGAAGAGACTTACTTGTGTTACAAACACTTCCGGTAAATTTTGGATCACAGGTACAAGTAAATCCTGAACTGGTATCCTTACATGATCCGTGTACACAGGGAGTATCAGCGCATTTAGTTACTAAAGTAAAAAAAAAACAGCAGATATTTTATTGTAAAGCAGTTCTCAATATACATTCATTATTTTTTTTAAAGGAAACTAGTACACGTATATATTTCAAGATATAAAAGCTCACAAATAATTTTGAATGGAAAGAATCTAGTAATCCTAGTTTTGGTAAATATACATAAACGTTATTATACATGTACCTGTTTGACAAACAATTCCCTTATGTGTGAATGGGCATGCGCAGGTAAATCCTGTTGGGCTGTTATTTTTACAATGTCCACCATTTTTACAAGGTGAATCTCCACAATTTTTTACTGAAAATGCAGTATCATAAAAGTATGACGTCGACATCGTTTGAGAAAAATCCTTGTCAAGAATATCTTAGTTTGAAAGCAATCAAATTAAAAATATGTCTTTGGTATTAACTACTGGACACATGCCCTATTTACCTTAATTCAATATTAATAAGTTAAAGTTCTTGAGTGTGTAGGTTAAAAAAAAGCTAAAGATGTAAAGTAATTGTAAGGCGGATAACATTATTTTTGAGGTCGTGATAATTATAGTCACAAATTGTTTTCAGAAAGGGAAAATGGAAAAGTTCTTTATTATGTATACCTATTTCACATCTATTTCCTTTGTAAATGCTCGAACATATACATCGGAAGCTCGTTCCTTTGGTAACGCATGTTCCTCCGTGTAAACAGGGTGTGTCACTGCATGTCACAGCTTTATCCAAGAGGAAGTAAAAAATAATATAATTTCATGTATCATCTATTTGATGCATAAAAGATACCTTATTTGGGACTTTCATATATATTTTAAAGAAACAAGGCAGGCTCTCGACAAATAAGTTGATGATACAAGGATATCACCCATCAATTCAAGACAACATTTTGCATATTCTTTTGTTGATATGATGTCATTGTTAGAAAATACATTCTGTAGCTAACTCGCATAATGGTTGACGATTTTAAAGCAAATTCTTAAACCATTATTTTCAAACTGAATTGTTTACGGATTTTTCCATTTACCTGATCATTACAGGAGCACACGGCGGGCGTGACGGTCGAAAGAGGATGCTTAATTACTCCTCCAAGACATCTGATCCCACCTCTGTTTTCAGAGCTCTGCTTAAATTATATTGTTTGAATAGACTTTTGATCACCCTTCGTTATCTTCACAATTTCATCCTACAATACACAGTCTCCAATATACATGTATAATGTATTTTATTGAAAATGCAATACTTTTTACAACTGCTTAATTGCAAGGTATTTTGTATTTGAAATTTTCATTTTACTAATTCATTAGAAATAAAACCACCTAAAAATACCTCTTTAAATATATGCATCACTTGAAAAGACTAAAAAATTATTTTTTTTCATATTATTTCATTATTTTCTAAGCTCTTATAGATATTGCTATATTTTGAACTTAGAAATATCAATCCAAACAATATTTGAAAAGTATTAAAAATCTATATGCTTTCAATGAAAAATAAAAATATCAATTCGATGAAATTTTGTTTTTATATCTTGTTTTAAGAAGGAAATGAAAGGTAGAGAATTGTACCAGTTGTTGTAGTTTTCTAGCGTTTTATCATGTACGATAAAATGCAAGTGAAGACTTCTTTGTTGTTTGCTAAAAATTTTAAAATTCATTAGGAAAATGTTTAGTTAATCTGAAAATAAAGTACCCATTTTACAGTCTGTAAAAGTCGATATTAGTAGAGAGAATAACTTAGTATACCTGTTTGACATGTTAGCCCCTTGTGTGTTTCTGGGCAAGCACAAGTAAATCCAGGAGACTTATTTCTACAAACTCCACCGTTCTGGCAAGGGTTGTCTGCGCATGATTTGGCTTTAAGGGAATTCAATTAAAAATGTTATTGATATTTTTTTTTTATCAATATTGACGTCAAAATTTTAAGAAACTTTAATAATACCTGTTTCACAAGTGTCTCCTTTGTATGGATCAGGACATTTGCAAGTAAAACCACCTCCTTGATTTGTGCACATTCCAGAGTTTTTACAAGGGTTGTCACTGCAGGTTAAGGCTATTGAATAAACAAAAATTACAATTATATTCATTTATATACATGTAAATATTTGTAATTCTAATTCTAGGGTAATTCTTATTCTTTTTTTTAATTGAACATTTGCCTAATTGGCACTAGTATTTCAAATACGCCAGCTTTCTCAATACAACGGAAATATCTTGGTGTCATGACAAGACCCTTAAATGACCTTCTTGTCCGAAAACCAATTTTCCTACGTGCACTGCCCAGACATACTCATAATCAAAGGTGGCCATTGAAGTTGCAAAAGAAGCAGTCTTCCAGTTAAAATCAAATAATGTACAGCGATTAACTATCATATCGCCCTGTAGTAACCCATTGACTTGGTGTCCATACCTAGTCCACCCAACTTCCGGTTGCCCCATTTTTTGTGGAACAATCTTTTTTATCACTAGAATAAAGAATAACCTTTCACATTTTTTTCTCCAAAGGAACACCCTGCAGACACCACACACCCTGCAGACACCACACTGATTGCTTTAGCACTTTTTTAGGGTCAAACGCTGCATATGATGTAATTTTTTCCTCAGTCTTTACAAACATAAAAAAACCCTCCAAATAGTGTAAACATTATTTTCATTTTTCTATGAATGGTTACGCTTGAGTTAACATTTTATTTATCAGATAAGACATTTAAGTGCCTCATTTGTTACTTTGGTAACATATTTATATATCAAATACATCATGAACAAGTTTTAAAAGTAAAATATCAATTTTCTTTGGGGGTGCGTTAGCAATTTTGTCTAGTGTAAGCATAATAATTCAAACCGAATGGTGAAGTATGAAGATGGATTAGGTTATATACAATTATTTACGGTAGGCAATTAACAGATAAAAAAAAAGAAATTCGGTGTCAATAATTCTATACCGAAAATACTTCTAGTTATAATCTTGATGCCACTGCTTAACTTGTTTTGGTAAAAAATTTCATGATCGAATTTTTCTTCTCCGAAAGATAATGGTTAGCAAGCCGGACTGTCAAGATATTTATTTCTTACGATTTCGAAGGAATTTAAAACCATATATTTATAAAAACATCATGCATTTAAGCATTTATGAAATCAAATAATTTGTTGATTCATTATATTCCTTAATACAATGGTATACCTCTTTGACAGAATTCTCCGCCATATTTGCTGCGACACTGACATTTGAACCCATTTCTGACGTCCTTACAGGTTCCTCCATTCTCACATGAAACTCCGTCTGCGCATAATTTACCTAAATTCAAATGTAACGTTCAACATTTCAATATAATATCAAAATAATTCTTTGTTGTAATGTTTAAAATTCTACAAATTTCAGGTTTATTAAAGTAATCTTATTAATTGAATCTCTTTCAACCACTGTTTACCGATGTCACAATAAAAAAAGATGATTACGTGTGTCGCAGTCCACCCCTTTGTACCCCCTGTCACAGTTACAGACAAAAGTGGCATTAGTGTCGGAACAGGTTCCGTGTTTACAGGGATTATCCCGGCACGTCACCAGATCTAGAATCAGTAGCATAAAGATACATCAAAATTCTACAATCGGTAAAATACAGATATGTCGCCAGATCTAGAATCAGTTAAATACAAGCATGTCATCAGATCTACAATCAGTTAAATTCAGGCACCTCAACAGATCTAAAGTCAGTAAAATATAGACACATCACAAGACTGACAATCAGTATTATATAGACACATCGCCTGTTCTATTACCAGTATATTACAGACACATCACCAGATCTACAATCAATTTAATATAGACACATCACCTGAACAATAATCAGTAAAAGACAGAGACGTCATCTGATCTACAATCAGTAAAATATATACACGTCACCTAATCAACAATCAGTGATATGCAAACACAACCTCAGATCTACAGTTAGTAAAATATCCCAGATCAATGATCAATAAAGTGCAGATATGTCACAAGATATACAAAAAACTTGATGTCTTAAATGCATGACAAAAAATATGAGAAAAGAACTATTACATAAGTTACCATGTTAAAACATATTAAAAAGCAATAACTGTATTCATTTACTTTAATTAGTCATACATTTAAAAATAGAAGCAATTAAAAGTTAAAATGGAACAAAATAATAAAAAAAGATCCTTTTAACAAATATTTGGCTATTAACATGGCGACCAAGACAAATAGAAATCAAAATTTGATTTATGCATCTGGTGTCAAACTATAATAATGAGCAAAGTATTATCAAAATCAATGATCATGCATAACGAAAATGTTTGTGGTTAAAGAGAAATGCTCTTAATATCTAGTTTTCTCAAAAAAAAAAAAAAAAAAAAACAAAAAAAAAAAAAAAACAAAAAAAAAAAAAAACCAAAAAAAAAAAAAAAAAAAAAAACAATGTTGAATACATTAACACTTATACAAATTTATTTGCTTGGAACAGCACATATAGTATGTCAACTTAAACATCTTTTAAAAGATTGTCGATTAGAAATGAAGGAAATTTGATTTCTATCACACGGGATATGTTTGTTTTGACATGGATCTAAAGATAAAATCTTTTTTGCCCTTAAAAATTCGTTCATGAAATCGCAATCACGTGGAGAGAACATACGAAAAAAAAAAATCAATATTCGATTAGAACTAAATCCCATTGATCACTCCCACTTGCCTCTGTGGACATAGCTTATAGTCATATTTCATAAATACCACAAATCAGTTTGACAGACGCTAAAATATCAGTGTGAAATATATAGGTAAAAAATACATTGTAGAACAAAGATCAAAAAGATCAAAAGAAGCAGGATTATTTCATATGTCAAAGATAATGAACATAAAATTAAATACATCCGTATTATTATTTATTATTGCAAATTTGATATATTTCTCAATAAATTAAATTATATAGAACCTGGGCTTTTATAGAACCATTTCAGCTCGTGCGTGCTTTGTAATATTTGAAGATAATGAACTGTATTCAAGCTCAAAGTTCATTTAAACATTACAAATCGGGAGCAGACCAAACACGGACCTCCAAAAAATCTGAGGTGAGATCAGGTGCCATGGAGGAGTGAGTATCCCCTACCGACCAGTCACATCCGCCGTGAGCTTGTCATGATAGAGAAAATTGGAAAAATCCGTAGACAATTCAGTGTGTAAATAATGGCCAAACAATTAGTATGAAAAATGTCAGTCAGAATATTTGACTTAATGATAGGTTGTATTTGCTGGTCATCGGTCAAAGTCATTGTATAGAATATAAAACTTGTGAAATGAAGACTTCAAACGAGACTTTTCCCGTCTCTTCATTCTTAATGACATCAAATACACAAATACACGTACATTTGACGTCACAAGTATCCGTCTAATGTTGTAATGATGTTTATGACCAGAAATACAGGGAAAGTCTATTCATATGAGTAAGGAAAATGTTTTTTTTTTATGAAACATGTAATAAAAAGATAGTTATTAACTGAATATCGGAAAATATGTCCTCCCTCGGACTTTGCGCAAAGACCCCGGGAGGACGTTTATCCAGATATACAGTTAATAACCCATAAATATAATTAATGCTAGAAAGCAAGAAAATATCAGTTGACTATTTAAAAAAGGAGTATTTGAATGACAAGTTTAAGAAGCATATTCCTTTCCATTCTAATTGCAAATAAAAAATGTTTTACATTGGTAAAATATATTTTTTTATTTCTATTTTACCCAACAAGATTTAAAAAATTTAAGGAATTTTCAAATCATACGATAAATTCAAAAACTTAACATAAGTTAATAATTACTGATCTTAAGATTTTCATTCAATTTGTTAGAAAAGAAATTTAAGTAAAAACGTATTCTGAAATGTTGACTGAAGTTCAAAATTACAGGTGAAAACGATTTTTTGTTTTAGAATGAGAAAGAATTGCAAGTGATCTTTAATTACACGAATAAAGGTACAAAAAGATTCATTGTTACAGATAAAGCACACCTGTGTAATCTAGATCATTTTGGTGTTTGTATTTGATCCAGTTCTCAGTAGGAAGCCAGCCACTGTGTGGTAATTGCTTCTAAAGGTGACTATTTTGCTGATATTGTTAAATACAGACATTTTTATCTATAAACCACACAAAAATTTAACCACCTTCAAGAACAATAGCGAAATTAAATACTGCCTCTAAAATCCCGAAGATTTTATCTGATTGGCTTGTTGATTAAGGAATATATATGATGTTAGAGACATTAAAGGGATTTTTGTCAGAAATAACAACAAAGTACATGTAACCCTCTTTGTGACATGTAGGCTATTGATAGAAAATAAGATTTCATATAGATAGTAAGCACGAATAATGAAAATTCATTTTGATGATTTTAAAAAGAAAATGAATTATTAAAATGCATCAGAGGTAATTTCCCTTTATCTGATGTTGTTTGAGATGTTTAATAGATACATGTATTTAATTCAAATTCTATTTTAAAAACTTTGCAAAATTTCTAGAAACGAAGAATTATTCAAAGAAATCAGATTACCTTCAAATTATAGAACTGAAAGCAATTTTAACAAAATATTTTACAGCAGTTTGTTGAGAAAAGATATCTCATATTTGGATTTACCTAGTCTTTGGAAAGGGGATAACGTTTACATAACAAATCACATTATATTTGGTTAAATTCAACCAAAACTGCACATTTTATTCTTGATTGGCTTGCCATTTATTTGGGGTATAAATTAATCATCAGTGGTATAACTTTGACAACTAATCTTTCCATCATAATGGTGGCAAATCATTAAATGTTTCCAAAAAGTTTGAACGTATTTATTTTAGATATCATCATCTTATTAATGAAAAACGTGAAGATAATAGTGATCGATCTTATAAACTCTATAAACAATGCAAATTGTAAACAGGGCAAAAATACGGTTCACTGGAAACATGAGATCAGGTTCCTAGGAGGAGTAAGCATCCCCTGTCGGCAAGTCACACTCACGGAGTAAGTATTGAAAGGTTAACAGAGTAATCCATTGTTAAAATTAGTACAAATAATTGCCTTACAATTGGTATCAAACATTTTCGTCAACGTTTAACAAAAACAAAAAACAAAAACAACACAAAACAAAACAAAAAACAAAAACAAAACAAAACAAAAAATAAAACAAACAAAAAACAGAACAAAAACAAAACAAAACACCCCCCCCCCCAAAAAAAAAAAAAAACACGACAGGTTGTATTTGCAAAATGAAGTCATTGTGTTGAACATTTATTCTGTAAATTGTTAAAAGTCCTGTAACAATACATTATTCTTCAGTAGCCTGCCTCAGTTTGAAAACGGATCGTATTCAGAGCATGCTCTTTCTTACCGAATCTGCTTGGGAACATAAACACCCTATGTAGATGTCACAAATTATGCTGAATAAAAAAAAAACTTTACTGCATTATATACATGTATTTTAAATGATATAACAGATATGAGCAGAAAATATTAAAAAGAAACTGCTCAAGCTAACGAAATAGTCTACTAGCATGCCATTCGCCGAATGGCTTTGATGAAATAAATTAAAATAAGCTGCAAATATATACAACAACAATCACGGTAAACTAATAAATATAGGATGTATTAAATTCTTATGCATTTTAATGTAGGCATCAATACTTATTTGAACAGAAATTTAAAATGTACAGTACCATGTAGTAGCAATGAATCATCTTCATCTAATACTTACCCTGACAACAATTCCCTTTATGATGCTGGTCACAGATACACGATAACGATGAAATATTAAGTACCCCATTATTTTTACATGTACGGCAAGGCTGGCTTATATTCATCGGGAAATTTTTACTTTTGTTACAATATACCAAACAGTTGTTAATGTTATGAGGTTTGACTTCAGCGGAACAGCACATTTGTCGGACTCTGTATTGAGTTTGTGAACCACAGACACCAGTGCATATTGTCCACGGTTGCCAGTCAAACACATTGCAATCTGGTGCTATTGTACAGTCATCTGATGAGAAAACTTGATTGACGCATAACGGACAAATCAGCAACAAAACATTTAAGAGTTTCATATTATCTCACAAAGCTTGCACTATAATGTAGCAAGGCAACTGATTAAAGAGATCGATACCAATCAATGGTTCTTATGTAAAGATTTGTTAAAGTTGGAATGCACACTAGAATTTTTAACAAGAATGAATTGAAATCCACACTTCTAAAGGTGGTCTAACTTTGTAA